GGCTCCACCTCGCTTTGTCACTCAGTGGTACAGCTTGGAGAGGACAACCCACCCGTCCACACAACTTTCCCTCACTCACTTTAATGGCTACAGAGAACCCTAGACCTCAACTGACAGGCATTTAGTTTCCAGTTTTTTAACTATTACCAAAACAATGCTTCAATGAACACCCATCCTAGGGCATATATTTGGCACCCTTTAATTTTATCATTTTTTCCTGATATTGAAATAGTAAATATTTGTTCTAGAAAATTTGGATGGTGCCAAACAAAACAAAAAACAGATAAAGAAAAAAAAAGAACACAGGCCCTGCAATCCAATCAACTGTGAACAGAGGCCTCCCTCCCTCCTCTGGGTCCTTCAGGAGCGTACATTTTCCTGCACAGAGCTGAGGTGAGGGTGTGATTATCAGCACGGCTCTGCTTAGGGAGTAACTCCCAAGTGCCAGGCATTGTGCTGCATGTCATAGTTATTTTATTTAATTTGAACAACACCCCTGTAGACGGGAAAACTGCAGTGCAAGAGGAAAGCCTTACTGGCAGCCTGCATAAGCTCCCGCCCCTCTCCCATGCCAGGGGCAGGCGGAGCTCAGGGGAAAACCACCTACCTCCAATGAGGATAGCTCTGATGTCGTCTCCGGGTTCCGGAGGCCATCCCCCAGTGTGGGGGTGCTGCTGCTGTCCCCCTTCTGGCCCACACTCAGTGCCTGCTCCCACTTCTGCAGAGCCTCCTCGAAGAGCTCCATGCCTGAGCACCGGTGGGGAGAGAAGGGAGAGTCAGGCCTGCGCAATGTCACTCAAGTGGGGACTCAGAATGGCAACGAGGCAGGAGCACCCTGAAGGACAAGAACCAGGCAGGACTGTGTGGCCACGGCCTGGTCGCTTTTTCAGGGCTGATCAGTTTTCAGGTTTTCATTCAGACCAGATTTGATCTTAGACATGGTCCCCTGTCCAAAAATGACTGGAAACCACTGAATGAGGGGTTTAGGGTGGGGACTGGGAGGGGGCAGCATAGCAGCACCCCGAGAGTTACCGAGCCCCGCCCAGGCTCCTGCCACCCGCCCTGCCTCAAGGCTCTGAGGCCCGCCTCCTGGCCCGTACCTTGCATGTAGAGGCTTTCGGCATTGCTGTCGCTGGTGGCCACAGACTCCTCCATCCCCCTAGCATCCCATGGTCCAGAGCATGCAGCCATGGGGCTGGATGAGTTCACTGCCACCATCTGCGTGCAAAGCAGTGCAAGACAAAGAGTGAGGCCTTCCCAGACGTGCTGCTGAGCCCCTTGAGCCCTCCCTGCTGCCTGACCACAGGCCACAGGCTCTCTTCCTTATGTCATTCCTAAGCTAGCCCCTAGCCACAGCATCCGCACCCTCCAAACAGCCTGGATCCACAAACTCCAAGTCCCCGACAATGCCTCGCAGTGACA